GTGTCTGGTGTTCAACAACAAATGACAAGGCAGGTCAAAAGGCAAGAAAAAAGGCAGCCCGAAGACACACAAAGCAGTCATCAGAATGACACTCAGATGTGAACAGATGTTGGAATTATCAGACGGGCGTAAAATAGCAATGATTAAGATGTTAAGGGCTCTAGATGAAAAAATTGACAAAATACAGGAATAGACGGATACTGTGAGCAAAGAGATGGAAACTCTTAAGAAAAGATCAAAAGTTAGGGCTAGAGATAAAAAACACTGTAATAGAAACAAAGAGTGCCTTCAATGAGCTCATCAGTAGGCTCAACCCAGCCAAGGAAAGAATCAGGCTCTACACAATTCAGCCCAAGGCGAGTGTTTGCTACTATCTGTTTTGCTTTTACTGATAGGGGAACAGGAGCTCACAGATGTCCAACCAAGTGGTTAGGGTCCAAGCACCTGCCACAGACAACACCCCCCATAACCCCCCATCTCCCGTGCCATCTTGTTCAGGGTAGAATGGGAGCCAGGTATATGTATTGGAGCTATTTTGTGTACAGAGGAAGATTTGTTGCTGCTATTCATTTCCAATTCATTAAATTATGAATTTATCAAACAATGAGCATTTCTCTCAATATTAGGCATCAAGATCCCTGTAGTCTAACTAATTCCACATTACAGGGATGATTTTATATTATTTTATCTTATTTTTTCAAGATTTTATTTGTCAGTAACCTCTACACCCAACATGGGGCTCAAATTCACAACCCTGAGATCCAAAGTTGCAAGCTCTAGTGACTGAGTCGGCCAGGTGCCCCCATAGGGATACTTTTTAAATAAGAAATTAAATGTCTCCAAACATTCAAAGAGTGCTTGAAATGTTAATGCCTCTAAGCTTTGGATAAAATCACAAATTTAATACTTACATTTTCTTAAATTCTTTCAAAGTGAGCAACATTTACACACAAATATTCCAAAATTGTTGTGGTCTCTTGCATTGTGATTATCTGGAGAGCACATTTCTTTATCTCATGTGAATTTACATCAATTCTCACCTAAATACTTAGACACAAGTATGAAATGAAAGCACATAAACAGGTTTTGGTGGTTAAGAATCGGCCTTTGGTTTAGCTGCACCTTTACATCGGCTGCTGCCTTTCTTTTCGTGGGAGTAATCAGATATGAACTGTGTGACCTCACTTGTATAATGTGGCTCATTAATATTGCTAGATGTGTCCTATTTAAATCTATATGACCGTGCTCTCTTGCATTACGACGATTTACAAATAGTGTTAATTCTAAGGACAGGTGTTGCTGACATAGATGCATATATAAGGACGGAGGAAGGGAGGAAGGGAGGAAGGAAGGCGGCAAGAATGAACGAACTCTACAGATTAATTCCGTATTTCCTTATAACAGCTCTACGATGGGTAACGTCATTGTACCATTTCATGTGCGAAGATGAAGGATCCTGACAACAAAACCTAAAACAAACCCTCAACTAGAGCAACAAAGAGGAAAGCTCTCGTTCTCCAGCAGTCGTGGGCGTGTACTCAGACTGCCCTTCCTTTTGTTTTCACGTGTGGCAGAAACTCAGGTTGGTCCCCAGGAGACAGGACCAAGGCATCAATATCCTGATGTGCCAGCCACACCTAGACGACCCAAAGACAGGCAAGTCTGGGAAAGTACATTTTGTGCGGTCCAGTTTAGCAGGGAAAACAGATGGCTTAGCAAAGTGTCAGAAAACAATTCAGACTCCAGAAAAATTTAGCCTAGGGGCTTGCAATCCTGATGTTAACCCCTTTACGAAACACGGAGAGGTCAATCCAGGGCACAGGCCTCCAGAGGTAGAGCCAGGCCCTGTGCCAAAGCACCGTCCCTCCTAACTCGCCCCTCTCATCAGGCTATGTCCTTTTATTTATTTATTTATTCATTAAAATTTTTTTTAATGTTTATTTTTGAGAGGGATATATATTTTTTGAGAATATACATGTTTATATATTTTGAGAGGGAGAGAACGAGCAGGGGAGGGCAGAGAGAGAGGGAGATTCAGAATCTGAAGCCGACTCCAGGGTCTGAGCTGTCAGCAAGGAGCCGGACGACGGACCAAACTCACAAACCCCGGTATCATGACTTGAGCCGAAGTCGGCTGCTCAACCAACTGTGCCACCCAGGGGCCCCTATCAGGCTTTGTCTTTTTTTTTCCCCCCCTTCACGCTTTGTCTTTAAAGCCCGGTGCCGGGGTCGCCTCCTGGGACCTCAGCAATTTCCGCTTCTGCGCGTCCCGCGTTAAGTCTAGTCCGCCGCGTGGGCGAGTGTCTAGAGCCCAGGACCCCGAGCGCAGGACGCCGAGCCGGGCGATCGCACACTTCACTCCCCGGGATCCACGGAAGCTGGGGAGCGCCTGCGGGACTCCATTTCCCAGCGCGCCGCGCGGGGATGCCTAGACGTTGCCGCGGATATCAAGCAGGGCTCCGCCCACGCGGGACGGGAACTGCGCTTCCCAGAAGCCGCCGCGCGTGCGTCCGCAGCGTGCACTGGGCCTATGAGGACTTTCGGGGGCTGGACTTCCGGCGTCCCGGACTGTCACTTTGCTACCGGGCGTTGGGCCACACCGGTATTGGTGAACTGGAGCGCCGCGAGCCCCCAGGCCGGTTTCTTAGAAGGTTTGGAGACCCGAGGCGAGGGCTGGGAGGAAGACCCGAGCGGTGGACCGTCTCGCGCACGCCCTGATTGCGGGCGACGGTCGCGCCCCGAGCCCAGGCTTCCCCGTGAGGAGCCTGGGCCGCTCCGCGGGGCTGTGGGGCGGCGCCCCGAGTCACGTGCTGTCCGACCCCGGGACGGCGGGGGAGGCGGCGCCCTGAGCGACCCTGCCTTAGACGGCCCGGGAGGCTGAGACCAGGAGCCGGCGAGTCCGTTTTGTCCGTCTCTTTCTGCGAGTCCCCAAGTACAGGTTCTGATGGCGACCGCGGCGCTGACAGACCGGGCCCAGGTGAGTAGAGGAAGCGTAAGGCTCCCATCCGCCCGGATCCCTCCTCGAAGGACCCGATCCTCGACGCAGGGAGAGACTTTACCTGCACGTTGTGTCTCCCCTCTCGGTTCGTCCTAGGCCCCGGCGTTCAGGCCAGTGGAGCGTGCACGTGTGCGATCCCCGCTTCTGGCAGCCAAGGGAGTGAGGTGTAGAAGGAAGCTCCAAGCAGAGGGTCCCGCACGTGCAAAAGCTGGGAGGGGAGACTGAGCCTAGGTGGTTCCGGAGCTGAGCTTCCTGACGTGGGCACGGGAGAGAAATGGCAGGCTTGAGTTGCATCGGGGGCCATGGGATGATTCTAACAGAGCCCGGATATGCTTTAAGTTAGAGACTTTAAAGTAACCCACCGTTTGCTTGGCGGAGAAATGACGCAGAGCGGGTGGCTGTGTGCAGGGAGCAGGCAGCACCAACAGTCCAGGTGGCCGAAGACGGCACCCGCTGCACACGGGGGGCCAGTGGAGATGGGAAAGTGGCTGGATTCTGGAACGATCTGATGTCTCAGGTGCGGCGTGTGAGCGAGTGCCCGGAGTGGAGCACAGTCCCAAGTGTTTAAGCCCGAGCACCCAGAAGAATGGAGTTGCTGTAGACAGAAACAGGAATTTGAAGGGAAAACAGGTTTCAGAGTAAAATCAGGGAGTCTGTGATGTCCCAGAGTGGAGGTATCATGTGGACCTGGAATTGTAGGTGTCCAAGGACAGAGTCCTGGTATTCGGAACCAAGGCAGGGCCTGGGAATCACACTTAGGAGGAGGGAATAGCGTAGATTCAGCCAGGGATGGGTAGTGCTCCGGGGAGATGCAAAGAGGCTGGTGGTCCCTGGGGCTCTCAGGGGAGGTCTGGCAAGTGGCTGAAGGGAGGGTTTTGGCCAAGGAAATGGGGGGCGAGGAGCACATGGCTATGGAGGGAGAGGGGAACTGGCTTCCTGTGTGGCGACCAGACTCTTGGGGCCAGTCCTATAGTGACTGGAGGGGATTAGCCGGTCCTTCAGGCTGAAGGAGCAGCCTTGGAATGTCAGGCAGGTCAGCAGAGGCGGGCATCCTTACGGGGATGGGCATGTCTTGTGGGTCCACAGTTAGGACTTGTACAATTGCTAATTACAAGAACACGTAAGGGCGTGGCACGTCTGGAGAGGGTCATCTTGTGCAAGGACTGGAGCACGAGTGGACACCTGGGCCTGCCTTTGGAGTGGCAGCCATCTGAAGGCCATGGGCTTGCTCTGGCTGCCTTGTATAGAGTGGCTAGTAGGGAGTCTGAGAAGACCTGTATGCCCTAGACAGGTAGGGTGGAGGGGAGGGGAGGGAAGTTTCGTCTGCAGAGTTGCAGAGCCCTGGGGTGGGGCGGGGGGGAAGGTAAGCATCTGAGGGACACTAGTTGGGGTAGCCATTGGGACAGGGAGGCGGGTCCTGGGTCCCACAGCCAGAGCTTAGATTGTGTCTGCCTTCCCCTGCCCACTCTTGTAGGGCCTGATGGCCTTTGAGGATGTGGCCGTGTACTTCTCCCAGGAGGAGTGGGAGCTCCTGGACGCAGCCCAGCGGGCCTTGTACTGCCATGTGATGTTAGAGAACTTCGCGCTTGTGTCCTCGCTGGGTAAGGCCCTGGGTTTTCCGTGGGAAGCTCAGTCGTTGCCAGCACTAACCCCTTCTCTCCTGTTGGCCTGTGAGTAGCCTCAAACCAATTGGCTGAGTGTCCCTGTGCCACTGTGGTGCCTGTGTCTAGGCTCGGCCCCTTTCATCTGGTGCTTCCAACATGGTTCTCCTCACATGGACCGTTGAACTTTTCCTGTGAGTCCTGCCCTGCAGTGAGGCATCAGATGACACCATCTATGTCCCACAAAGCCCCTCACCCCTGCCATCTCTTGGGCAGTAGGTTGTCCTGAGCTGGGCCTGGCCCCTCACTTGCTTGTGTTTTCTCACAGGACTCTCTGCCTCACGACCCCGGGTGGTCCTGCAGCTTGAGCGTGGCGAGGAGCCCTGGGTTCTCAGTGGGACAGTTGTGACACCAGCCAGGAATGCTCAGAGAAAGCCCAGCCCTGGTGAGTGGGGGCTCAGAGGGTGTGAGCTTGGGGCTAACCAATGGCCAGGCTTCTGTCCCCCGTTTCCCTGCTTTCCTGGACACTTTCATCTCCTGCTTCCGGCCTGACTCCCTCCTGTTTTCTACCATCAGCCTTTCCTGGTGGCTCTGGCCTTGGCTTGCCATTCAAAGGGGAGCTCCCAGGGTACCCCATTCCAGGCACTGGGGCACAGCCTCTATCTAGCAGGTCTCTCCTGCTCCTGCCCTCATAGAGTTCACCATGCTAGGGAAGAGGCATTGGGGAAATGGGGTTTGTGAGTAAAGCCTATAGGATTCGGTAGCCTCCAGCAAAGGCCTACCTACTAGGCCCATCCTGATCACCCCCTCTTGGCCAGGATGACCCAGGATATACCATTTCTATGCCTTCAGGTCCCTGTCATCTGGCATATGACAAGGTTGTTCCTGAAGCAGCTTTGCCAGTGACCTTCCAGAATGGCTCCCTTCCAGCACCTACCTTCACAGGCACCTGCGAACGTGGGAAAAGCTCAGTGGGTTGGCAGGGCACCTCCCTCTCTCAGGAGAAAAAGTCCACAGGCGTGTCGGTAATATATTGGGAAAGGCTCCTACTGGGTCCTGGCAGCGGGGAAGCCAATGTCAGTCTGCGGTTAACCTCTCCACTGAGGACTCCTGAGGATAGCCCGCCTAGGGAGAAAGCCCTCATGAACCGCCCCATGCCAGACAAGCAGCCGAGGCCATATGGGGGCCAGAAGCCATTTGGGCAGGATGGCTCTGGAAGAGGCTGCCCCAAAATTCCAGAATTTGAGGCTAGTCTCACCTCTGGGGAAAGAGAAAAGGGTGGAACTAGCCTCAAGCCTCATGGACTCCCTGCTAGCCAAGAACCCCCTACCTGGGATCAGCTGGGCAAGGCCCTCCACACAGGCCCCAGCTTCCTCTCCGGGGAGAAGCCCTTCGAATGCAGGGCGTGCACTAAAGTGTTTCTGAAGAGCTCCGACCTGCTCAAGCACCTGCGCACCCACACTGGAGAGCGGCCGTACGAATGCTCTCAGTGTGGCAAGGCCTTCAGCCAGACATCACACCTGACGCAGCACCAGCGCATCCACAGCGGTGAGACACCCTATGCGTGCCCGGCCTGTGGCAAGGCCTTCAGGCATAGCTCCTCGCTGGTGCGGCACCAGCGCATACACACCGCTGAGAAGTCCTTCCGCTGCAGCGAGTGCGGCAAGGCCTTCAGCCACGGCTCCAACCTCAGCCAGCACCGCAAGATCCACGCGGGCGGGCGGCCCTACGCATGTGCTCAGTGTGGCCGCCGTTTCTGCCGCAACTCGCACCTGATCCAGCACGAGCGCACGCACACGGGTGAGAAGCCTTACACCTGTGCCCTTTGTGGTGCCGCCTTCAGCCAGGGTTCCTCCCTCTTCAAGCACCAGCGCGTGCACACGGGTGAGAAGCCCTTCGCCTGCACACAGTGTGGCCGCGCCTTCAGCCACAGCTCTAACCTCACGCAGCACCAGCTGCTGCACACTGGGGAGCGGCCCTTCCGCTGCGGGGACTGTGGCAAGGCTTTCGCCAAGGGCGCAGTGTTGCTCAGCCACCGACGCATCCACACGGGTGAGAAGCCCTTTGTGTGCGCACACTGTGGCCGTGCCTTCCGCGAGCGCCCGGCCCTGTTCCACCACCAGAGGATTCACACGGGAGAGAAGCCCGTGCGGCGACCTCGGCGTGGGGCGGGCCTGTGCCCCCAGGCCAGGCCTTCTTCAGGAGCACCGTCAGAGGGCACGCTGGGCAGAGTAGCTGGGCCCACTCCCACCTCAGGCCCACCGGCAGTTTCGAAGCCTGCTGACGCCTGAGCTCACAGCTGCAGCCTCCCCCAGGCTGTGGGAAAATGCCCTTGTGCCCTGCACATTCTGGAGAAGCCCTGTGCGTGCCCTGTGGTGCCGTCTGCACATGGTGACAATATTTGCCATTTCAGCACCAGCTCACTCCAACTCTAAGAGATCTGACTACAGAAAGATCAGGGGCATGGACGTCGAGGCTGGGACTTTGGTGGGCAGAGACTGGGCAATCAGAGTGCCGCTTCATGCCTGTTATGACTGTGAGCACTCAGGTGAGGAGGGGAATGCTGGAATGTTGGGGAGGCAGTCCTAGAAATTTCTGACACCCGCGCACATACTGGCCAACAGGCTGGCCCTCAGGATATTCTCTCAAGACCTCCGTTCATCAGAGGCTTCTGGGAGCAGGCCCAGTGGATAGGAAGTCAGGTTGGGGTCTGGTGTTGGCCTTGGGCTCTGAGCCTCAGTTTCCACCTCTGGGGAAAAGAAAGGGAGAGAGGGAAAGAGATTCAGGCTACAGAGGGTGTTTGCAGCACCGTGACAAGCAGGATCTCGATAAGGGCCAACATGTGCCAACTGCCAGCCCTGTGAGATGGCTACTATGGCTGGTAGCCCCACTTCTCAGTTGAGGAAACTGAGGCAGAGAGTGGGAGTGTGCTGCTGCACAGAGCAGAGCCCAGGACTTAAATCCAGGTCACAGGCCCAGCTCATCTCTCTGCCCCCATGCTCTGACACTCGTGCTCTAGTCTGCCAGTGTGAAGGCTGGGCGATGCCAGGCCTGACTTCCTGCACATGGCAGTCCCACAGGACGTGGAGGAAGTAGAGGCGGAGGTCCCTGGGGTGGGAGGAGGGAGACAAACATCAATGTGTTCATTCAGGTTTCACCCAAGCCTCAGCCCTGGCCATGCCCTGTTGTTACCAAAGTCACCATTACAGGGGTGTTTATATCCCCACTGCCCTGGTGAGAGGTGACCACGATAACAGGTTGGAGGAGACCAGATGGGACTATTGTTTCTGCAGGGTCAGTGGGCAGGTGCCCACCTGTTCTCTTCCCTCAGTTGGAAAGAGGATTTGCTGTTACCTAAGGCCACGTGTGTGTGATGCCCTCCCATCATGGGACACCTCCACGTGGCTGGGACACGTGGTGGACTGACGCCCAGGTTTCTCCCTGTGGCCCTCAGCAGAGCAGGCCCTGTCTTGACCTCAGGCCTCACCCCTAGGGATGTTAGTGGTCTCTTTTCTTGGGAACAAAAAAGAAAAGACCAAAAATTATAAGTTGGAGTGGATGTACATTGTGTAAATCCCTGCACAGCACTGTGGAAATCCACAACCTCAGTCTC